ATTGTTTTCTCTCCCCCCCTTCCTGATTGCCACTGTTACCTTCAAAGCATTATTAAAAAGTCGTCCCACGTTATGGAAGCAGCCATTGTCTTTCTGTTTCAGTAAAAGCCATGTCATGGTGTCTGATATTTGTTTTGGGTCAATGTAAATGTGTGCCTGAGCCTTGGAGAAGGACCTGAGGACAAACGCTGTTAGCCTAAAAAGAAAAAAAAGAAGTGATGCAATGACACCTTGTAATATATTCCATGAAACTTGTATTATTGCATGACACTTTGCCTGACTAAAAGACCCTGCGAGTTTCTAATGCAATATTACTTTATACTGCAAGAATGTCAATAAAGATGAGGATTCGAAGCTTAAGACAACATATCTTGACTAATATGTTGTCTAACTAATAAGGGGTATATCGGAATGGTGTGCAAAGGAGATATAACCACAGTTTATGGCTCACATGTCTGGCCCCTCCAGCTGGAGTTCTGCTGTGTAGGGGATTACAGAAAGCTAATATAAAGAAAGAGTTCTGGTACTTATACTAATTGTACTTAAAGAATATATGGGTGTAGTCCTTTTATATTTGCCTGGAGTTCCCCTTTAAATAAAGCTAATAGGGTTCCTCTATAACGGAATACAATCTTTATCATCCATCCATCATAGTGTCCCTACCAAGTGTTCCCTTCTCCAAACCGAGGTCCAAAAGCACTGTAGGAGCCATCATGGTGTTTGTAAATCAGCTGCTTCTGATATCCTGTGAAATGACACGAAAATAACATTCCATCACATTGCATTCTATTTGAACCTATCGCTTTAGGGCCCGTTCACAGCAAAATGGAAGGAAATTGGAGGGTTCGTTAACTTGCAGTTTCAACCTCCATTGACTTCCGTTCTGTTCTATTACATTTTGTTTCTCTTTTTTTTTTGCCAATATTTATTTTAATTAATATGTCCTGAGTGGACATTCATCTCTGTATTTTACTTCTGTGGTGTCGCGATTACATGTGTTTTTGTTCCATTATGTTACGTTGCGCTGAAAAAAAATATGCCCTAGTTATTTCATCTCCATGTAATGGAACGGATCGCAGCGGTATAACCTGGTCCCATCCACACCCATTCATTTTTCAGTGCCCTTGCGTTAGCATCCATTTAAAAACAGATTGCAGTGGATCTGGTGTGAATGGGGTCTCAAAGTCGACATAAAAGCATTTCTCTGGCTAAAGGATAATAGTCACATGAGACACAAAAAGGTATAAAATAAAAACCCGAGTGCAAAAACAATGGAAGATCATTTTGGTCATGTGGCCTGTGCTAAAGATACTTAGGGGTCTATGTATAAACAACTTGCAGAGCCATTCACCCTGTGTATCTCTGTGAACATTTAAACAATAATGTGCTGAGCTAAAAAAAAATATACAAAAATAAACAGCAAAAATAAGAGTTAACTCAGAATAACTCAGAACACATAACATGCGCCATGAAAGTCAATAAAAAAGTGATCGAATCACATTGTTTGGATCGTTATCTCCGTGAACATTACTTCTGTGTAAATAAAAGCAAAAACAAATGTTCTTATTATATCTTCTTTTCAGATCGAATGTAATGTGAAGTAATACTGCAATATAGCCAGTAGAGGGAGCTGAGAAGCATAGAAAATACTTATTTCCAATACCCCTGAGCTCCATCTAGTTGCCATAATGTGGTATTACAGTACATTTGACCTGAAAAGTTAAGTATTATGTTGGAGAAAATTGCAAACCCCAAAAGCCACACATTTTAGTTTTTGTTTTTAGCTTTCTAGAATTTTTTTTTTTTATTTAACACAATTGGGTTATGTTTTGTGGAGTTCCTCTCTAAGTACATTTTTCCAAATTTTTAGAAGTAAGGGCCAGATATTTTAACCATTTTTTGTATTGATGGCAGAAGAAAAGTGGAAGGCTATGCCATGCATCGAACCCGGAAGGAGCAGCGTTAAGTTGTGCAATGCTCTCTTACCTGTGCTCAGGTAGCTCAAGGCTTTGGATTTGACCTCTGGGGTCAGCTGACCGGTATTATTGAGGTACTCCAAGATGAAGATATTGGGGGTTAAAAGGGCAATATTCTGTTCTCCACATCCAGATGGCATCTTAAGCAGATTACCTAAATTCTGCATTGCTGTTCCCATGATATCACCTAAAGGAATTGATACATAAAGAACACAAGAATATTTAATATAATGCAGATTTTTGCTGATTTTCATAATACTGGACGCGATCATACTATCTGTGACAGTAAACTGTCTAAGCTACTCACCAATCACAGAGAAGTAGGCGCGTTGAGAACCTTCTACTACCTGGCTTGGAAGCTTCAGAGAAATTGCTTCTGTTATCTCAGGCCCTAATAATAAAGATGAAATAACACATTCAATATGTTTTCCATGAGATTTACAAAAACTGTATCTTAGACCCCATTCACTCCCAGGTGTTTTGTAGCTCTTTTCCCAAAGCGGAACAAAACACTTAACAAGAGGATCCCATTGTTTCCAATGGCCCCGTTCACAGCTGAGAGTTGTGTCCCTTTTTGCAAGTCGCGTGAAACCTGAAAAAGTACATTCACTTTTTTTTGGGGGGGCGGAATCAGGTTTTTGGCCTCATAGACTTTAAGAGAGTCTCAACAACGTGTGTTTTTTAGGCACTCCAGTTTTCGATGGGGCCAAAAATGCACGATTCTGCTCCTGTACTACAAGTCACATGCAAAAATGCTTGTAAAATGTATACAAACTTGCAAAAAAGGTCTCAAAATCATCCTACGCTCATACTCGTACATTGGGGAACTCGTATGAACGAGAATATTTAATTATAGAAATAACAGAAAGTGTACCTTTTCCACAGATCATGGCTGAGTGTGTCTCCTCTTTTTCAATACCCTCGGGCTGCAAATTAAACACAAATCTATGTTAAAGTGTACTTGTACCTCTGGAGCATGTTTGCCTGGTGGGAGAATATCCAAAACCATGCTTACAATCTATGATCCCTACAATAGTCATAAAACCTCATGTACATTTCAGCTGGCTGCATGGCGTCTAATATTGACGTCCACCTGGTCCTGGGGACCTGGTCATTTCACATAGTGCGCTTAAAGTATTTCACAGCAATACTGTAGCTATGCTGTCAGATAGACATTGTACTATTATCCTCCAATTTCATTTCCTGTGTCCAGTGAACATTATGGTCAAATTACAAAATGGACTCACCTCCACTAGAATATGTTTGGTGATTGTGTCCTTTCTTCCTTGTGCGGGGTTCACAATCTCATTGCCGCACAGTCCTCCTCCTGGCAGCGTCTGAGCACTCACAGTAAAGTTCAATTCACCTGAGACAGACACAACAAGGTCTCTTATATTAGTCCTTTATTCAGGTACTGTGCTCTTGTTTCAAAGCAAAACTCACCAAAAATAACACAATAAAAATGAATAGCCCATTAAAAGACAAAAAAAAAACAGCTTTTGCTGCAATATTTCCCTTTCACAAAGGGATTTCCCCTCACAGTACTGCCACTAGATGTCCTCAGTAAGATGGCCAGCATCATTCAACGCACTTTCTCTAAGACCAGGTCATCCTGGACCACCACAGCCTGTGACTGGACAGATGATTTCATATCAGCATGCAGAGCTGCGTGCTGATGTTATTTTTAGTCAAAGGGGGTGAAGATCCGCTTTAAGAGCATTGATGTCCAAAGGTGGCCTCAGAGCAGCAGAAGAGGGAATTATTCTGAATTCCCATCAAGGTAAATCTGTCTCAATCTCTTACTGCTACTGTTTTGCATTTTCTTGTTGGGTGACAAAAGTGCACAGTGGCATGGTAGGAAGCATAGACACAGCTTGGCTTTAGAAATGCTCTCATAAACAATAAGGGAATTATCTATATGAGTCTACAGCTCCTTCCTAGTATCAAGCAGATATTGTGCATTTTCTATTTGATACGACATGTACAAGCACAATGGATAGCTAATAACTCATTCTTACAAATTTGATCTACAGCTCAGCAGTGAATGGCAGATCTTCTACTTTAAATACTGTGGTCACCAAATGTGCGGTCATCTCAGTTGAAGTTAAACTTGTATCTAAACGTGACTGACCCGCTGGCAGAGAGCATCAGGGATAGGGTGTATTTTACCTAGATTTTGGTTTCGAAACCATAGACCAACTGTAGATTTAAAATCAATGCAGCCGATTGGTAAATCCCGTTGAATAAGAGACAGTCCCACTCTGGGTGTTCATAAAAGTGCCTTTTATTACAAATCTACCAATCCATAAAACCAGCAATAGGCAAGTCTGTAGCACCCCCTGGTGGTGAGTTGATAAGCCAGATCCCAGACCTACTGTATAGTTTTAGCGATGGAAGGTCTAAGACCTAATTTCCATTACTTCTGCCTATAGGTCATGTCAGGGAACACACAGTTACTCAGTGATGAGGGACCCCGCTGTAGGAAACCAAGACCAATCCAGGAGGGACCCACCAAACACTAGACCCACAGTCACTAGAGTCTCTGGTTGCAGGGTACATGGCCACACCAGGGAACCCATCTTGCCTTCTCCCTGTTTTCCCGCCCACTTTCACCACACCACCACTTGTGCCCTTACCAAGCCGCTCTCATGACCCTACTCCCCTAAGTATATCATGGACCCTCGTGTCCATAGAAATAAAGAGACTTGGTCCACATTTTTCTTTTACTCCTCTTAACTGCACGGCAACTTGCATAACTGCGGTCCATAGACAAACATTATTTTATCTTTTATGGCCGTCCAAGTCCAAATCTCTTGCCCACTAACAGGGAATTCTTGCTTTTAAAACTTCTAGCTAATCTGGTGGAGCCCACTCAGAGAAGACATATAGCTTTCCCCAAAGGGGAAGCCATGAGGTGGAATTTTTATCTCTAGGTCCCAAAACGTCCCCATGTTTCTCAAACTGTCCATTCCCTATCTCAATCCACCAACAACTACTGGCTTCCTGAACTCACACACAGGCTGTACTCCCTGACTCCACTCAAGCTACACTACTATCCTTGCATGGGATGGAGGCCCTACAAGTCACTGTACCCCACAGTGTTTCACAGACCAACCACATGCAGCTGCCCTTGTTCTTCTAATGGAGTCACTATATAGGGACTTTGCTTTGGGCTGTGCAGCATGGACAGAATGAGAGGTGAACATAGTCTACATCAGCACATATATGTAGGTGATTGTGACCCTAAAGGTGGCCATACACTTTACAACCCTTGCAAGACTTTTGTCTTGCGAGGTTTGTAAAGTACTTAAAAAAAGTACAATCTGCCCATCTTGGACAGGCAGATTGTACTTGCGATCATCGCAAGCCCACCCCCCTGAGGGGCGGGCTTGCGATGACTGCAATGAGGGGCGGGCTTGCGATGACTGCAAACGGGCCCGTTCGGCAGTTGTCGAACAAGCAGGCCACCAACTCGCCGAGAATCGTACGATTCCCGGCGGGTTTTCCATCCTGTTTGTTCGACGGAAGATGTGCGACCGTACAGTAGAAACGGTCGTTCGCCTTCCATACACTGCACGATTATCGTACGATCGCGGGATTTCCCGTGTATGGGCACCTTAACACAGTAGCCTCCTATATACATGGTATGTGTGTGTATTTACTTTCTTTCTTAGAGTTGTAGTTTTAACCAATTTGAACATTTCTTGTGATAATTTGGTCATGTGTGGTTCATTTCCAAGATATAACAAGCATGTGGAAGCCTCCACACATGCACCACAGTTTAAAATAATAAACACAGGGTCTCAGTGGGTCTATGGTCTCGAGGAGGGCAGACAAGTCACTCTAAACAGACTTTAGCATAGCAGCAGTGTTTCCTGCAGCATTACTTCCAATATTCCAATATTACTTTGTTGAGTGGAGTTGCACTTTAAACGATATGATGTACACCATTGTGATAGAAGCTTGCGTAGACCTACTCAAACATATTCTTACCAAGAGACTTTAGGATCACTTCAAATTCTACGGTGACTCTGCTGTTTGATTGTATACAATGACCTTCATCTTCTGTGTTTTTGGCTTTAGCTGTGAATTTGTCAGATTGTTCCAAAGTAATTTCCACCTGGCAATTGAAAAAAGTTAATGAACGTTAATTATAATAATGACAATAATTGTGTGTGTGTGTATACAGTATTTATGAGTGTGTGTATATATAAATCCAAAGTAGACAGAGGCATTTACAGGCCTTGCGGCAGAGATAAGTCAAAACATCAGCATTTTATTGTTGACTTTTCGATGGAGCTCAGTCCATCTTACTTAAGAAATATGGACTGAGCTCCATTGAAACGTTGACAATAAAATGCTGATGCTTTGATTTATCTCTGCTGCAAGATCCATAAGTGCCTCTATATCTACTTTGGATTTGTATGGATATTTTTGTGGCTGTGCACCCAGGCGTTTACCTTATAAATAGAGTGCAGTGGCTACCACTGGGACTATATAATGTATGTAATTAACCTTCACATTCAACACGTTGAACGTTATTTGCCATTCCTGGAATTTAGGACACCAGTACAGTAACTTTCATTGGCAATACCAACACAAACTCTGATGTATGGAGCAAAATCTTTTCCCATCTTTGCCCCTTATATCTTCACTGTTCACGTCTATCTTAACAGATTGATACTTGAATAGGGGAATGTTTCTTGTTGTGTGTTAGTATGACGGAAGGCTGTCCGCTCACATTCTTGTAGCTTAATTGAGGTGCTGCCTACATCCTCCTTGCAGTGTGCATGGTTTTCTTGAAATTAATTTTATTTTTTGCAAATGAAACCAGAGTTTCTCTTTTAAATCTAAATTCTGCCCGCAAAAGATATAATTCTACTTTGTGTGCAACAAATGCTTTGCAGACCCACTTTTTACCTTGTGACGCAATCACTGTGCTATACACAGCCTGTGCAGTGAGTAGAGCTGTGAGAGGGAGCCAGCAGGCCGCACCCACTACCAGCTGCCTACAGAATACTAGATGGGGCGGATACAAGACCAGTCACCCTGCACAAGAATAGAGAGCAGCACTGACTGGTCTTTATTACAGGAAGCTCCTGCACAATGGCAAGGTTTTACTGCACAGATCTGGAAGAATTGCACAAAGCACACCAAGATTAGAGTAAGAACACTCATGGCTCTTACATTTAGACAATATTTGCTTATCTTGGAGCTCGGATTGAAAGCTTTTAGTCCTTTTAAGCTATATTCCAGGACTTGACATCCAGGGCTATTTGTGCCTATCATCGCCCCTTACTCTACATCCTGCGTGTCTGATAGTACATTTTAGGAACAGCAGAATGGCAGTCCATACTGCATTGTGGGGGCAGATAGTTTTCTTTCTGGTTCATGTCTTTCTAACTATAACTGATATGGGTTAATGGCCACACACAGTTCTAAAGTTATTGGTTTTATCCAGTACCAAACTGTTAGTGGCATGGGGGCCATATCATTTTTTTTTCCATAGACAGGATTTTTTTTCATTTTTAATATTATGTAAGCAGATTATAAGCACAGAATACATTGAACAGTTCTGCTTCAAACACTCACCCTGATGGTTTGTGTCAGGTAGTTAAACACGGTAGCTTTTAGTGTGAACTTCTCTCCCCGTATAGCGGAGTATGGCAGAGTAAGATCCAAGAAGAAAGGCTGGAAAGTCACCAGGGACACTGGTTCTGCAAGCCCAAAGCCCGCTTCTTCTGATGTACAGAACATGTCCACATTCCATGTTGTTATCGTGTCTGGTACTGTAAGCTTCATGGCAGTTTGTCCGACATCACTACAAGAGGAAATGTTCATGTTATTCTATACAACCCTCAAACAGCACACAGTGATGCCCACAGAACACCATGGTCACCTCTAGCTCATGGTTAATTCATATATCATAATTACTCTTAACTTGGACACCTTTGTAATGTCAACAAGGAGGTCCAAAGCTTTGATCAACCTTCTCAAAGGGTCAGTCCACCAAATACCCTAGATGCTGGAAAGTTAAACCACCAGAAAGTTTATTATATCTCATAAGGATCCTACTGGTGACAAGTATTCACTGAGTTCAGGAGTCTGCACATTTGCTGTGCCCATTATGAATATAGAGAATGCAACAGAGGAAGATGGAGCAGGCAAATGTTGGGGGGGGGGCTGCCTGGTTGAGGGCCTGCCTGGTGGACAGTCAGAGATACAGCTGTTGTATCTTGTCTTGGGTGGCTCTACTTATAGCTAAAAGATAATTTTTATGTGGCCCATTAATTCCATTGAAAAATGGCTACACAAAACAAGCGGGAAAATATCTGGATTAAAGGATAGCTGTCATTAAAAATGTATGGCTTGAAATAGCTGGCAGCTGACAATTCTGCCAAAAAGTTATGATCTAAATACTTTGTCCTTTAATTATATCCATTATTTAGTGATTCATTTACCTCTTATTTTTTTCTAGAAAAGTTATATTTTGCTCATTGCGAAATCTGAGCAGTCATTATGTTTAATCTGCAGGTTGCTCTTTTTTTTTGGTGTTAAATTTGGTGGTTTTGTGCACTTTGGTGGAGCCTGCTCATAGTTTGAGATTTTGATCTAGTGCATCATATTTATATTAATTTCAGCAGTTCGGCAGTTGTCGAACAAGCAGGCCACCAACTCGCCGAGAATCGTACGATTCCCGGCGGGTTTTCCATCCTGTTTGTTCGACGGAAGATGTGCGACCGTACAGTAGAAACGGTCGTTCGCCTTCCATACACTGCACGATTATCGTACGATCGCGGGATTTCCCGTGTATGGGCACCTTAACACAGTAGCCTCCTATATACATGGTATGTGTGTGTATTTACTTTCTTTCTTAGAGTTGTAGTTTTAACCAATTTGAACATTTCTTGTGATAATTTGGTCATGTGTGGTTCATTTCCAAGATATAACAAGCATGTGGAAGCCTCCACACATGCACCACAGTTTAAAATAATAAACACAGGGTCTCAGTGGGTCTATGGTCTCGAGGAGGGCAGACAAGTCACTCTAAACAGACTTTAGCATAGCAGCAGTGTTTCCTGCAGCATTACTTCCAATATTCCAATATTACTTTGTTGAGTGGAGTTGCACTTTAAACGATATGATGTACACCATTGTGATAGAAGCTTGCGTAGACCTACTCAAACATATTCTTACCAAGAGACTTTAGGATCACTTCAAATTCTACGGTGACTCTGCTGTTTGATTGTATACAATGACCTTCATCTTCTGTGTTTTTGGCTTTAGCTGTGAATTTGTCAGATTGTTCCAAAGTAATTTCCACCTGGCAATTGAAAAAAGTTAATGAACGTTAATTATAATAATGACAATAATTGTGTGTGTGTGTATACAGTATTTATGAGTGTGTGTATATATAAATCCAAAGTAGACAGAGGCATTTACAGGCCTTGCGGCAGAGATAAGTCAAAACATCAGCATTTTATTGTTGACTTTTCGATGGAGCTCAGTCCATCTTACTTAAGAAATATGGACTGAGCTCCATTGAAACGTTGACAATAAAATGCTGATGCTTTGATTTATCTCTGCTGCAAGATCCATAAGTGCCTCTATATCTACTTTGGATTTGTATGGATATTTTTGTGGCTGTGCACCCAGGCGTTTACCTTATAAATAGAGTGCAGTGGCTACCACTGGGACTATATAATGTATGTAATTAACCTTCACATTCAACACGTTGAACGTTATTTGCCATTCCTGGAATTTAGGACACCAGTACAGTAACTTTCATTGGCAATACCAACACAAACTCTGATGTATGGAGCAAAATCTTTTCCCATCTTTGCCCCTTATATCTTCACTGTTCACGTCTATCTTAACAGATTGATACTTGAATAGGGGAATGTTTCTTGTTGTGTGTTAGTATGACGGAAGGCTGTCCGCTCACATTCTTGTAGCTTAATTGAGGTGCTGCCTACATCCTCCTTGCAGTGTGCATGGTTTTCTTGAAATTAATTTTATTTTTTGCAAATGAAACCAGAGTTTCTCTTTTAAATCTAAATTCTGCCCGCAAAAGATATAATTCTACTTTGTGTGCAACAAATGCTTTGCAGACCCACTTTTTACCTTGTGACGCAATCACTGTGCTATACACAGCCTGTGCAGTGAGTAGAGCTGTGAGAGGGAGCCAGCAGGCCGCACCCACTACCAGCTGCCTACAGAATACTAGATGGGGCGGATACAAGACCAGTCACCCTGCACAAGAATAGAGAGCAGCACTGACTGGTCTTTATTACAGGAAGCTCCTGCACAATGGCAAGGTTTTACTGCACAGATCTGGAAGAATTGCACAAAGCACACCAAGATTAGAGTAAGAACACTCATGGCTCTTACATTTAGACAATATTTGCTTATCTTGGAGCTCGGATTGAAAGCTTTTAGTCCTTTTAAGCTATATTCCAGGACTTGACATCCAGGGCTATTTGTGCCTATCATCGCCCCTTACTCTACATCCTGCGTGTCTGATAGTACATTTTAGGAACAGCAGAATGGCAGTCCATACTGCATTGTGGGGGCAGATAGTTTTCTTTCTGGTTCATGTCTTTCTAACTATAACTGATATGGGTTAATGGCCACACACAGTTCTAAAGTTATTGGTTTTATCCAGTACCAAACTGTTAGTGGCATGGGGGCCATATCATTTTTTTTTCCATAGACAGGATTTTTTTTCATTTTTAATATTATGTAAGCAGATTATAAGCACAGAATACATTGAACAGTTCTGCTTCAAACACTCACCCTGATGGTTTGTGTCAGGTAGTTAAACACGGTAGCTTTTAGTGTGAACTTCTCTCCCCGTATAGCGGAGTATGGCAGAGTAAGATCCAAGAAGAAAGGCTGGAAAGTCACCAGGGACACTGGTTCTGCAAGCCCAAAGCCCGCTTCTTCTGATGTACAGAACATGTCCACATTCCATGTTGTTATCGTGTCTGGTACTGTAAGCTTCATGGCAGTTTGTCCGACATCACTACAAGAGGAAATGTTCATGTTATTCTATACAACCCTCAAACAGCACACAGTGATGCCCACAGAACACCATGGTCACCTCTAGCTCATGGTTAATTCATATATCATAATTACTCTTAACTTGGACACCTTTGTAATGTCAACAAGGAGGTCCAAAGCTTTGATCAACCTTCTCAAAGGGTCAGTCCACCAAATACCCTAGATGCTGGAAAGTTAAACCACCAGAAAGTTTATTATATCTCATAAGGATCCTACTGGTGACAAGTATTCACTGAGTTCAGGAGTCTGCACATTTGCTGTGCCCATTATGAATATAGAGAATGCAACAGAGGAAGATGGAGCAGGCAAATGTTGGGGGGGGGGCTGCCTGGTTGAGGGCCTGCCTGGTGGACAGTCAGAGATACAGCTGTTGTATCTTGTCTTGGGTGGCTCTACTTATAGCTAAAAGATAATTTTTATGTGGCCCATTAATTCCATTGAAAAATGGCTACACAAAACAAGCGGGAAAATATCTGGATTAAAGGATAGCTGTCATTAAAAATGTATGGCTTGAAATAGCTGGCAGCTGACAATTCTGCCAAAAAGTTATGATCTAAATACTTTGTCCTTTAATTATATCCATTATTTAGTGATTCATTTACCTCTTATTTTTTTCTAGAAAAGTTATATTTTGCTCATTGCGAAATCTGAGCAGTCATTATGTTTAATCTGCAGGTTGCTCTTTTTTTTTGGTGTTAAATTTGGTGGTTTTGTGCACTTTGGTGGAGCCTGCTCATAGTTTGAGATTTTGATCTAGTGCATCATATTTATATTAATTTCAGCACCACAGCAATCTGGAACACTGAATGATTTTTCAGAACCTTTGTTCATTATTTAGGTGTTGATGAAGGTGCACTGTGGGACTGCAGAAGACTCTACCAAGCAGAGTCTTTTCAGTAATCTGTTATATACCTCCCTGAACCCCCCCTGCCCCTTCCTTGCAAATGCTCAGCATTGTCTGTTCCTGCAATTGGGACAAACGTCCCAAAAGTAGACCTGTCATGAAACATGGAGGCTGCCATGACTTTCTCTTCTCTGGCTTCCAAGACTGTGACACAGAATAACAGCCAGACATCTAGCATTTTCAAAAGGATGTCACCAATGAGAGCCCCACAAGAGAAAATCCTGAATGGCACCCCAACGCAACTCCAAAACGTGTGTGTTGTGCTGCAATATAATGAAGCCTGCCCTTTTTTTCCCGCACATGTTACTGTGTGTTTCAGCCTATTCATTTTGAAGGGGCTGTTTAACACACTGCATGGCATCATCGCGTGTATTGCAGTGCACAGTGGGGTCATGTGAACGGGCCCTCAGTTGAAACGCAAGCTATGTAACCCCGTTGTGCTATACCAGGGATATTTAATATATAACAGAGGAAGCTAAGTGAACCCACAGCAGCCAATATGAAGTTCTTGTACTAGTCTGGCTTCACTAAAGTGAATTCTAATTGTCTGCTGTGAGTTACTATTCCTTTCACTGTTTATTGATTGTATGCCGGTATCAAAACATGTTAATAAGTTTCTTTTTATATCATTTTGTAGGCAAAGACACTGATTTGCTCAAATTCAGCACCAACTGTTCCCTTGCTAACATATCGCTACTTACTCTATTACCACTAAGTCCCATAGCCACGTTTCTGGGAAAAACTTCCTCACAGTTTCCACAATCTCTTCTACGCCCCCTCTCCTCAGTGGTGCGGACATGACTTCCCCTCTGGCCATCATGCCTGCCACTTGCGGCGAAGCCATTGAGTAGGCTATGAGAGAGAGAAGACAACCTTAGATATATATTTCTATCTTCGTTAAACATATCACAATTTATCACAAACATAAAACCTCTTAAAAGAACAAATTGGCCACATACTACCGACATCTGGACTGAAAATAAAGGGAACATTTGCTGTGTTGTAGTGAACATTTAGAAACGTTAAATAAGAACTCCAGGGAATGCAAAACAATTAACCCTTGCAGTGGCGCTACCCCAGCATTGCAAGGGTTAACTGCTCATTTGGTCTAGGAGCTAAAAATCATATACTCACCTGATCCTCTGCCTCAGTTGGCTGCTGGACCAGTCTCTTCTACCAGCAGTCTAAGGACATGTGATGTCATCATGTCTAATGCAGGTGCAATAGATGTGAGGATGACGAGCGACATTCCACTGCCAGAGCAGGGGGGAAGAGAGGTGAGCAGTCACTGCCACAGGACCAAGGATCAGGTGAGTATATTTTCTTAATTTTAGCCCCTAGATCAAAACAAGCAGTTAACCCTTGCAGCGCAGGGGTAGTACCACTGCAAGGGGTCATTTTTACATTTCCCGGAGTTCTTCTTTAATTGCGCCTGGGAAATGTACCTTTTTTGACTTGAATTTCTTCTGAAAAATACTGTACTTCACCAAATATCAGAGGCAGCAGTGCTTGAGATCCCACACTGCAGATATACTGTAGGCACACCCACATACGTGACATACGTGAGTGTGCCTACAGTATATCTGCAGTGTGAGATCTCAGGCACTGCTGCCTCTGACTGCTAGTCTCAGCAGATATAAAGTTATAATTGGTGATGTCACTATTGTGCTGCTCACTGTTCTCCTTACTGGAAGCTCTGACATAATGAAGCAAAACCTGTCCTCTACCAAGATGGCTGTCTCCATGCTGAGACACAGTGCAGAATAAGGCAAGGTAAGTCAGTTATGGGGGAAAAAAATCAGATGCAAAGAACCACAGGCAATACTATTATTATTATTAATATTCAGGAATTATATAGAACCAACAGTTTAGTGGCTAGTCCTTTGCCCTCTTCCTGCCCTATTTTGGGCTTAGCTTCCAGAGCATATTTATACTTTAGTTTAACTTTCAGATTTTAAACCCTTTGCTATCCCTCCCATACATCTGTCATGGTATTAAATGTAGATTAATCAATAGGCAGAGGGGTACATGGGCATGGTTATACACTATACACAGCAATGCTATTTTTAAAACATTGCTACACATTAGTGGAACTGTTTGAATCAATCTGGTCTCTAAAACCAATTGGAAAATCTGTGGGGTGACTTGAAGAGGGCTGTGCATAGGAGATGGCCTCGCAATCTAACAGATTTGGTGCACTTTTGCAACGAAGAGTAAAAATTATGGCACACCTTCCCAAGGCATTGTGTGCCATGCTGATAGACTCCTACACCTAAATACACCTACACCTAAATACTGATTGCTGTCATAAAATCGAATGGTGCTTTAACAAAGTATCAGTATACGGGTGTGTATATTTATGCAACCACATTATTGTAAGTTTTTTTTAATTCTTTACCCCTTTAAAGACTTCAGTTTGTTTTTTAAATTGAATTGCACAGATCATAGGTACATTAAAGGTGGAAAAAGTTCTGAAGTGATTTTTTCTTTGTCTGGTTTCTTTTTCTTTCCTACTGTATATCTGGAAGGGATGCACCGATAACGGTATTTCAGTATCGAGTAGGAATACCGATATTCTTTTTTTTGGTACTTGCCGATATCGAATAATGAATACCGGAAATCCCATTCAGGAAGCCAGGCGGCGTGTAATGACTCACCACCTGGCTTCCTGATTAGCCGGGAAGCCGGGCAGCGTGTAAAGACTCCTCACCTAGTAGGGAAGCCGTTCCCATGCTTCTCGTCACTAGGTGACGAGAAAGCATCGAGCCAGCTTTCTGGCCTATCAGGAAGCCGAGCGCCATGTAATGACGAGGCACCCGGCTTCCTGTTTGGCCAGGAAGCCGGCTCCATGCTCCCTCGTCATGAGGTGACAAGGGAGCATGAAGCCGGCTTCCCGGCCAATCAGAAAGCCGAGCGCCACGTCATTACAAGGTGCCCGGCTTCCTGATTGGCCGGAAAGTCGCCTCCATGCTCTATTGTCACAAGTGATGAGGGAGCATGGAGCCAGCTTCCCGGCCAATCAGAAACCCGGGCAGCGTGTCATTACACGCTGCCCGGCATCCTGATACCGGAAGTATCCAGCTAGGCATTGGAGCACTTGGGCGAGTACGAGTACTCACCCAAATACTGGGCATCGGCACCGATACCGATACTAGTATCAATATCGGTGTGTCCCTAATATCTAGAATCAACTGAAAACACTATACATTCCTTTTATTATCTGAACATTATGCAATGAGCAACGGGAGCTGGTTTTTGTTACCAATTCACATATAATCACATACAGTATACGAAAGCAGAATTGGCTCTTCCTGGACATCAGAAGAGGAGCTGTGCCATCATTGCATTCTTACACACTAACATGATGAACAAGCAGATAATAGTTCTTGGGGATATACCTATTTCTGCATCGTGATAAGTAGGTTCTCTACTCTGGCACAGTACTGGGATCCTGATAATGGTGTTTGTTGCAACTTTTAGCCCAAGATCCTGTGGAGAGAGACGGATTTACACAGTGGTACAAGACGGATAACAATCAAAGCTCCATACTGGTATTAATGAAAGACGACAGGATGGGTAATAGGAATTCAGAAAATGAATGTAAAGCTAAATTACCTGACCAACCATCCTACTTTTTCCTTTTATTAAAATAAGTGCCTGATTTATGTTATGCGAATCTGTCATGACTGACGCTGCCTATAATTGTCCCATCCAGATCGGACAGCCAGGTGCAGTGCTCAGGCAAGGGTGGAACCACTTAGAGAGAGTTCTAAAAGGCTCATAACAAGCTCTTCTAATGTTGGAAATGCTTTAGATTAACCAGCTTGTGGAAAAATGTCTGAGCAACCTATAGCTGTTTTCATTATTGACTATGAGCAGAAGGAAGGAACATCGGACTACAGGGGTTAATATGGCAAGCTGCACTGTTGACTTTCATATCGCCTTGAATACACAATAGGACCGATTTACTAAAGGAGTAGAGAACCTTTACTTTACTATAGTGAATGTCCACATATCCCAGTGAATGAAATAAAGCTGTGGTCTCATTAATCATCCAATCATGTGCAAGCAAATAATCCATTTTTTAAAGATCTCCTTGTACACGACTGGGGAGTCAAAGTGAACATAGTATCGCCTTAGTCAGTAAGAGAGCATTCCCTACCACATTAACAGATAAACCTCATATTCTATAATAAAATGCATATAGGGAACTTGTGATAGCATTCTTACAGATTGTGTTGCTAGTAGAGATGAGCTCAGGTTTGGGCTCAACCCCCTCTGAACCTGAGCTCCTCTGAACCTGGAAGGAGCCCCTACTGAACACAGAAGGAAGCTCCTTCTATGCTTCCCAATCAGCTGCTGGTGGGAATTCCCTATCCACAGCTCAACATAAGCAAAGGGGTGGGATGCAGTGACGTCATTGACCATATATGGCTACATGCCTATATTTGGTAAATTACATTTACTTAATATGGCTATGTGTCCATATAAGGTAAATTATGTCAGCACTAGCAACCTGCCCCTTTGTTTACATTCAGCTTTGGGGCGGGGAATGCCCAGCCCACAGCTGATTGGGTGGTGCTTCTATGTTCGAAGGAGCTCAGCTTTGGACCGGGTTCATTCTAAGCCTGAGCTCATCCCTAGTGGCTTGGTGTTATCAGATTAGGTATGTAGCAGACCTTTAGGATTTTGTAGGTGTCAGCATCCCATGTAGGGACAGATGGGTTGTAATACACTCCATTCAAAAACATAGGCTCCACTTGCAGGCAGGGATCTTCACGTGACTCCTCTAGGTGAAATCCCTCATGGTCGTAGCCTGAAAGGTCTGTAACTTGCAGCAGCTCATACACCTGAAATAGATAAACACAAACAGGGCGAATCAACAAAGCACTTTTCTGGCGATATGACCGTATTACGAAGAACTGCGCCAAATTCATGAAAGCTGTGTAACAGTTCTGTTGCTGTTTCCATTTTGTTGCAGTTGCACCAGTATCACATACAACTTACCAACATGATTGTTGTCGAAGGAGCGGGCAGAAAGTTGCCAGGCAACAGCCAATCCACAAAATTAGCTATACACGCACGTTCAAAGATCAGTACAACATACCGAATTTGCAGACAATTCTGCTTCAGGTTTCAGCAGCCGTATACTGGAATCCACAGCCCGTAGGGCACACAGGGAGTTCGGCAGAGAGGAGAGGACAAGATTGGCGTTTGCACCCGGTAGAACTTCATTATCAGAGAATGAAATCTTCACCTGGATCAAAGAAAGATAACACAAACTTTACAAATGAACCATGAATGAACACCTCTGATCAGGATTCAGCAGTGTACCTACATCTGAAGGAAAAAGTTCACTCCCTTGAAGATAGTTATGTACACATCCTAGACAGGGAGGAGGACCGGTTTAAAAGAGGTGTGAAAGAGTCCATTTGCGTAAAAATGGAGAAGCCAAGCTTGAATAGAGCTGCCCCCCACCTCCATTCAAGCTTGGCTTCTCCATTGTTGAGACATCTGTTGTCTGCCACATACAGTGCTGTTTTAACACCTCTCTCGGGGCAGGTTAATAACACTTCCTAGACTCTGATTATGCAAATGCAATCAACACCTGGTTGCCACTAACAGATTATGTGGATTGGAGCAACATTCACCATATTTATTCCTAGAGAGGTTTTGTACAAGTAATTCTGAATTGAGAAAGCTGGTTGCATGGCCAGTGAAACGTAAAAAAATACAGCAAGTCCAGTTGCCTTGACTTATGTTTTACAGATATATATGAATGCAGTTCTTAAAGCCCTTCTCTGGGCAAAATATATTTTTGTGCTATAAGGTCCCCTTCACACCCAGACATGAAAGTGCAATGCTTAACTGTGAACCAACCACATAGGAAAGAACTGGATTTGGTCTTACAGGAAAATGAATGTGTTTTACTGCAGAGCCTTCGATGTGTGAGAAGGATGAATGATACAGGTCCACTTAAAGCAGTTTGTAACTAATTTAGAATTATAACTTCAGAATTTTGTTATCATCACAGATCATGCAGAAGAACTCCAGGCTGATATAAGGCAATGAAAATACTGCAACTATCTGTACCTTGTTTGCAAAGCATTTCTCCACTTTGAAGCTGACGCTGTCCGCGATGACCTCACTACTGTCCAGAATTAGATAGACGAGCACTTTGGCCAGCGGTGCCGTTTTAACGTTGACTGGAAGCTTAAATGTAAATTGTCCATGTGACTCTGCAATGAACAGAAAAGAAATCCCATAGGGGTTCATTTATAAATGTTCTGCCTGGTCTATTTGCACGTCAATAGAGTCCCTAAAATTTCTATACTATACTATTTATAAATGGACCCCACGATGTTCTCATGTGCTTCTAGCTAAAGTCCAAAGTTGTTCCAAAACTATTGTATAAAGCCAAGCCAAGGAGGCTGACAGCTTTCACCGAAAATTGAACCTGTCCCTTTAGCCTCCCTATCAGTCCTTTAATGTGATGACCAACTATGTTAACCAATATGGCGTCCTGGGATGCGGGAGAGGATTTGGTCAACCTCAATTTTTGTTGTAAAGCGGTCTTCACTGCACGTATAATGTGCTTAAAGTGACACTAAACGCAGGAGTTAAATCTTAAAAATGCATTCAAGTACCTTAACTATTAACAAAAATTAATTTCTGCTGACTCAGTCTGTCCGTCTCACATTTACTTTACTCATTTGTACTGAGATTGTATTCCGTGATGGGAGCGAGCTTTGGATCGATGACTACTTTACAACACACACAGGGACCATGGGAAACAAAAGTATCCACTCTCCAGAAGAAAGGACAGTGTCAGCACAAATTCAGAGATGATTTGAGGATCTACAGCCGACTGATACACAAATAATATACATTTCTGTATCTGTAAACTACAGATACAGTAAACTCCCCATTATTCGGCATTTAAGCAACTGGCACTCTCAAGCAACCAGCTAAAAAAAACGAGGACATATGCCCTTGATTTTTTTTTTGCTGGTCGCTTGATAGACATGTGCACACTAAAAAAAAGGTTGATGATGATGTTGCACAGTCCATCTGAGACTCTCTATTGTGGGCTCTGCAGGGGTCTCAAACTGGGCTAGGTCGAGGGCTGGTCGAGGCTGCATCTCCCTCCCAGCTCCTCTTACCTGCTCCTGCTGCTGGGGCCTGGCCTCCACTGCCGCTGGACCAGCCGGAAGTGACATGATGTCACTTCTGGTCCGAGATCAAAATTCCTCCAAAGCCGCCGGATTGGTGCTGCTGGGGCCCGGCACTGCATGGGCCCGGCCTGCTCCGACACTGCGGGGGCCCGGTCGCCTCCTCCCGTTACCTGTGCGGCCATCGGCCGATACCCATGTAAGGGTCCCGGGCCCCCCAGACCCCCCAGGTGGGTGGTATTTACCTGGGCATACTTTTTTGGATCGGATGCATTTTTTAGATGCACCACCTGAGTTTAGTGTCACTGTTAAAACCATGAAATCATATATAGGGAAATATGTATGTGTGAACCTTAAAGGATGATTGATTTTCTATATTTTCTATATTTTAATCTATCCAAGTTTGGAGATGCAGTTTTAAACTATACTAGTGACTTTGAGTTTAGAATTGGTAATCAATCAGTAAGCTTGACAGGCAGACCTAAACACAGTAGAAACAGTTGTTGGGAATGCTCAAAGTAGACTTGGCCTTTTTGAAGAGTATAACACATTACTCAGGACATATACTATGATGCCCAAAATGGGATTGAAGGAAACACATTACTCAGCTACTAAGAGTATGGCACTCCCTTATGCAAATCAGAAAGACTTTTAAGATAAACATCCCATAGGTTATTTTAAAGTAAAAGCATGGATATAAAGACGGGGGGATGATCCTTCAAGAGGCACACACACATACACACAACACACACATTCACACATCCACGCAGACCTAACCACACCCACATCCACACCCACACTCATTGAATAGACAGAAACACCTGTTAGAACTATTTTAACTTACTAACTAAAGACACGTTTCTTAAGCATCTTATAGACTTCTGCTGTAAGATATACCATATCCTGTAATATTTTGTAACTTTATATTAAACACATTCTGCACTTTATGCAAGAACGAACCCAATCATCTATTATTTAACATTTCCCACCCTATGCTTCAAGAAAAGGAATATGACATTAAAAAAAAAATCACATTTCTAACAGTCACTTTAATTCTGTTTTGTCACTATATAGATATTTTGAAGCAACCCATACCTGTGAAAACAGACAGGACATACGCATCTTGTCTTCTGCCTGTGCTGCCAAAATCTGCCCAATTCCGATAAATCTTCTGCACTGCAACCGACTGGTAGTGCTGATCTCGCTGATTCTCACTGATTGCCCAACAGGAAACAGGATGCAGCAGTGACATGGAGGTCAGCAGAAGAAACTGTTAGGATCCAGAGCGCCTCCAGGTGGAGCTGGAGCTTAACCCTGCAGTTCCTGTGCTCACCTGCAGGTGTCTCCAGGCAGCCGGGAACTTTCAGGTACCAGACCATCATTGGGTGGTGCTGGAACCTGCAGCTCCAGTGCTCACCTGCGGGTGTCTCCCAGCTGCCAGCACTTAGACATCACCTGGTGCTTCCTGGGAGGGTTTTTAAACCCTCCCTGCAGTCAGGACGATGACTCAGTATACTGTTATTGTTTCCTGCGAATCCTGAGTCCCCAGTCTTGAGTCCTGTTACCTGCTTATGTTCCTGAGTCCTGTTCCCTGCTTATGTTCCTGAGTCCTATTGCACTGCTCCCAAGGTTTTCATGCCCTGTTATACCCTGTGAGGGTATTCTGTGGTTTGTTCCTAGTTTTTGGTTGCGATTACTTATTTGTGGGTTATGTTATGTTTTGGCTCCCTATAAATAAAATGTATATATATAAGCTCAATTTTCCTTGTCTGGTGTGGTCATACATGTTTGGTCTGCCTGTGTTGGTACCTGCACATGGTGTGGGGACACCTGTGCCGGCATCTGTGACAGAAACCAATGGTAGATGTAGGGGACCCAGGAGCTTGACACTTCAGGAAGTGTCGGTTTCGGTGCAGACTTCAGTAGATGATTTCTCAGCACCGGAGCAGAGTTTGGCTGAATGGACAGCAGTACAGGTAGGCATGTACCCAGCCTAGGTAGAGGTAAGCAAATCTAAAAAAAATCTTGTTAGATTTTCTGAAAAATGTTCAAAAATTCCCCTACATTTTTTATCTCTACAGGGCCAACACAGGTAGAAATTTTTTTGCATGGGTCAGTTATTATTTTTAATTTCTGAACTGCTTTACAGAGAACATAGAACCAATCAGTCCCCACCCTCCAAGGCACTACAGGTATATATAGCTCTCTTGTTTATAAATAATGTTTGTACCTTCTTTTGCATTAAGTTCCACTTTGTGATTTCCAGAATCGATAATTTTTCCCTTTGCCATTATCTGCACGATAAAAAAAAAAATCACATAACATTTTTTTTAAATATCTGTGTACATACTTTGGATGTTACAACTGGTCTTTTTTAAGGTGAGTATACTTTGAAATGGTGAACATGAACAACAAGCTGTATGTACCATGATGGCTCTCGAAGAACAGTGCTTAGGGCAACTTTTTTTCTCTATTCTGGGGATTTCTTGATAAATGTATCAAATGAAGTACAGAGGGAATTTTGTGCATGGGGTGTTCAGAGGAGTCGCAAGACGCACTATTGTTTAAGAAACATGAAACCGTCTCTCTAGATATGATTATAAAGCAGACAGCAGGCTGCCTCCAACATTCTAACAATTTGCTTAGAAAGTGAACAGCAAAAATCAGTACTGACCCTAAAACCTGTCAGGAAAATAATAAATTAGAACAACTGGGCCTCAAAGGACCCTGGCATGTACCTACTACAAATTCCATGCATAGTACATGGATTTAGTAATCAACTCAAATTTTGTTCGATTTCTGCTGAATTGGGCAAATTTGGAGCAGTAAGAGGCCCTGTTAGCACCACTCAGCTTGACAAAGTTTGATTTAAAGATCAGCTGAGTCGGGTGGAAAATTCTCAGCCGGACAGTGACTGTGTCCTGACAGAGGCAGTCACTGTGCAGCTATACGGGCAGCCACGGGTGCTAGAGTTACCTAAAAACAATAGCGAGCAGCTGAGATTCCTCCATCCCACAGACCGATTAATTAAACAGCTAGTTGTGTCGTGTCGTGGCTAGCTTAAGGCAGAAGTAAAGTGAGGAAAATGAAAAATTGCAGGGAGGTAGGGATTTTTAGCAGAGGAAACCTGCAAAGTCTCTTTTGCCCCCCCCCCCCAAAATCTCCCCCTCTCCCCCAGCAATTTCTTTTTTTTTTGTGTACAGAGCATGCACCATGTAGTGTACACAATCAGCATCAGGCCGGGTGCTGGGGAGGATGTAACTCCTGTATGTGTGTGCAGAAGTTACATCATCAATGGCCACCCAACAGCAGAAGAGAACTTCTGAGAACCAGGAAGTGGCAGCGGCAGAGTTGGTGGCAGCAGGGGACAGATTTGAGGACTGAAGATGCAGCAGCACTAGAGAACGGCACACTTGTAAGGTAAGTGTGCCCTAATGTGCAAGCATGCTATGCGCTAACAAACCAATCAATGCCACTCAACCTCCTATCCCAATAATCAGGCTGGAACTGGTGCTCAGCATCGGTCTCTGCCAGACCCCATAAAGTGCATTGCAGAAAAACAGCACACGAAAAGGATCCATTCAATGCAAACTTTATTTCTTAAGGCATTAAAATCAGCAAAAAAGGTGCTCTTTTGTTTACTCTTTTTAATGCTTTAAAGGAGAATTATGAGGCGAGTGATTTTCACTCCGCCTCATAATCTGAGCCAACCTGTGACAATGAAACTGTCACAGGTCGGCTCAGTAGATCGGGAAGTGAGCGAACACATACCGTCACTCGCTCACTTCTCGATCTATCCGTGCTGAGAGCCGTCACTCACGGCCCCCTGCAGGGATTCACCCGTCCCCTGTCTGATCCTCCAGCGCTGACTGGCTGAACAGACGGAGGAGGGGGCGGGTACAGCTGGCTCTGCCTCTATAGGCAGAGCTAGCTGTCACTCACGCAGCTGGGTGGATCAAGACAGAATTGTCGGGATCCGTTCCGGCTGCGGCGTCTCAGTATACCAGGAGCTGTAGCTCGCGGTATACTGAGCTTTGGGTGGCGGGAGGACGCTAGTTTGTGTCCTCCCGTTACCCTGAGGAGAACTATGCGGAAAAAGCCCTGACCCCATAGTTCTCCTTTAAGTAATAACAATGCCGATTACTGTATACAGGCAGCTGCTGGAGCTGCCCAAGTAACTTAACAGTGACTGTATCTGTTAGGACGCCGTCTCTATCCAGCAGAGAATGTTCAACCCATCTCATTCGACTTTTAAATTGACTTTTCAGAGCCATATGGCGCTGACAGTGGCACCCATAATTCATCATTTGTCCAACTCAGTAGGAATCGGCTGAATTGGAGCCATGGATAACTAGCTTTAGGAATGACTTATAACCCATTAATAAGATTGTTTGTCCAATGAATAAGTAAAAAATTGTTTCATAGTACATGAGTCTCCTTTAATTACAGACTACATTTTTCTGTACTTGTTCACCATATAGCTGTCTTGTGCCCAATAATTACCCCTCTGATATATGAGAATAATGGGAGATGAAATGTAGGAAATCTGCAATGACAGAACAAAGACGTATACTCACCAGATGATGGAATACAGCATGCCTCGAGTCTCCAACCCCTTCTGGAGTCAGAGTGTAATACACTACGAGGTTCTCATCCTCCTCACACTTCAGAGTGTGGAATATGGGCTGGATCTTCAGATAACTTTTGCTTCTGGAGTAGAAATGGCTAACGCTGCGAGAATCATCTTGATAAACGGGGAATAATGAAGATTGGCTGTAGCAGTTTCGATTGCTTTCCTTCTGGGTGACCTGTGTTAGAAGTGAAGAAAATTCTCATAATTATTGTAAACAATAATTACAATTAATTGTATTTTTTTAATATTCCTATTTATTGTGGTCAGTACTTGTGGCTAGTACTAGTACCATCTAGTGGCCCCTAATGCGGTATTCTCCTAATATTACTTTTGACTTTGAAATATTCTAAGAAGGTACATTTTTGCCTCCAGTCACACAGAACATGCTCAGAGTTTTTCAGGACAAATGGCTCCGCTGAGTTTATTTAAAAAAATAAAAAAAAATAAAAATAAAACCTGTCATAAATACCCCCCCCCCCCCAACAAAAAAAACCCCCACACATTCCAAATCAAGAAAAGAGCAGTTTTTTTCAAGCATATTTTAAATTTAGTCCAAGCAGATTAAAGAGCAAAACTGAAAGTTGTTTTTTTTTGGGGTCAAATCTGTGATTTTATGGTGAGGTCCATTTAACGCTTCCCTAATCTCTATACCTCTGCATTGTCAAATGAACAACCAGCTTCTATAAAGTGAGCCTGTCCCCAGATCATGAACACTGAAGTATTTACATAAAATTAACAAGCAGTAAACGCACTTTAAAAACATCCACATTTACCTTGGTAGCTATAGGCATTGTGGAAGAATTCATCTTCAAAGTTCACAACAGAGGCTCTTGTTTACATCAGCCTTCTATTGTACACAAACAGCAGATGTTTGGTCTTTCAGGATCTTTGAAAAGGAATTGCTTCACATTACAAGCAGAGAGGTCAGGGATAGCTTGTTTTAAAGCTCTTTTATGGTTTGTGTAAATACGTTATTGTCCATAGCCTTTGGCATGTATGAAGCAATATGGATGCTGGCTGTATTCCTGGAAGGTTAATGATGCACATTAACCTTCCAGGAATACAGCCAGCATCCATATTGCTTCTTTTTCCTCTACCTAGAGAAGCATCAGCTACAACAATCAGTGAAACTGAGGATCTCTATACATTCCATATTCACTCCTGCCATCATAGTGACAGTTTTAGGAAAACAAATCACAACTTGTAACACCCAAACTTCTGGGGGGTTTCTTTGTACTGATTCAGAACAAATACCTCTTGAGTTCTTTCCTAGCTTGTTCTTACCCTTAATGTTATGGACTGATGGCTGAATTTTGTGGTTTCAATAGAGAAATCTGCTGTTCCATCTGGCCCTGTTATATAAGTGTAGTTTGTTCCATCATGACCGACAAACAGGGTCACCGTCTCATTGGAAATAGGCTTTCCTGCAGCATCTTCCAGGAAGACCTGTGAAAAGGCACAAAGAGTGTTCTTTATCCAGCTCCTACGGGAGTGACAGAGAGCAAGTACTGGACAGCACATCTAAACCAAATGAAAATGTCATGATTTTGTGAAGGCATCACTGGAACATTGATAGCTACACCTTCCTAAGTCGCCTGTGTTGATGGGCTTTTTGTTCACACCAGAACTTGCTTCTCTAACTATACAAGTGAAATGGAATGCAAAAGCAGGTTGATGCAGCTTTGAGCGGGTTAAATGTAGGTCAACTGCTGGTCATATGCACCTGTCAATAAACTGAGAATAATCTCAGAAATGTCTCAACCTGATTGCAAATGCACGTGGAATGCACCTGAAAGCCCACTTAATTTGCCCATCGATCATCGGTGCCCAAGACCAAAACTCACTAACATAGACTCTAATGTGATCTATACTATTACTATTATACAGGATTTATATACCATCAACAGTTTACACAGCTCTTTACAAAATGAAGGGAGGCAGTAAAGTTACAATACAATTCAATACAGGAGGGTTAGGAGGGCTCTGTTCATCAGAGCTTATAATCTAGAAGGAGGCAACAGTCATTGATTGTGTGGGATGAGCTGATGGAAGAAGTAAAAGTAGTTATTATGTGGCGGCGGAATAAGCTTCTCTAAAGAGATATGTTTTCAAGGATCGCCTAAAGGTGGACAGAGTAGGAGACAAGTGGACAGACTGGGGTATGAAGTACCAGAAGATGGGAGAGGCTCCGGAGAAGTCCTGGAGGTGAGCCTCGAAGGTGGTGATGAGGGAGCTGGAGAGCAGGAGGCCTTGAGAGGAGTGGAGAGGACAGCTTTGGTGCTATTTTGAGACTGAGGGTGGTGATGTGGCTTGAGACAGAGTTGTGGATGGCTTTGTATGTTATTATTAGTATTATACATTTTATTAGTTAGGAGCCAGTGGAGAGATTGTCGGGGAGGGGACGGGCACTGAGTAATTGGCAAGGTGGATGGGTCTGACTGCAGTAGTCATGATAGATAACAAAAATGTCAGGAGTACTTTGTTCTGGGCTGTGACACAAAGTATTGAAGTCCAGGAATAGCCAAGCAACTAGTGATTTCAGGAGGAGGTGAACACAATCAGCCTCCATATTATTCTCACTACTGTTTTTCCTTCACTAACAAGTGCTAAGAATTTTGTTACACTTTCTGATGGCTATTCTGTATGTCCACTGAGCAGTTGGCCATTCTGTTCCATCATCTTAGCTCACCTCTCCATACAAGGGAATGCCTCTCTTGAAGCGGGAGTCCAGCTGTCGGAAGGACACCTTTGTAATTGTGTTCTTAATCTCGGAGGAGGCCTCGCCGGTCATTTGCACACCTAAGGTACACAACATTGTTAGCATGTCAATTTATTGGACTTTTCTCCTATCTATTGTTTCCATGTTGCCTTCTCTCACCTGTTCCATCCTCCGTTATCTTGGCGGTAGCAGTGAGTTTCCTCTCATAGCCGTTACGTCTCAACTGGAAAATTTTTGTCTTCACCACTTCAGAAAAACAGCCTTTGTTATCGGTCTGAAAGGGAAAAGCATCTCTGAGATAGTCTGATATTTCCTTCAGATAATATCATGTCGGCTAGTCTGTGCATAACAATTGAAAGTGGACCTAAGTATGGGCCTAGAAGATGTACTTGTTGGTGAATCTGATTGACTGTACTATGTGACAAACTCTTCAAGACCAAAACAAGATGTTGGCCTTATGTAAATCAATGTAATCAATGTAATTACTGGTTTTGCCACTGAAATAAAAAGGCCAGATAGTGAAGTTGGATTAATGGGTGCACTGAAAGCAGCACCTTAAAGGTACTTTACCCATATATTCAATATAATAACAAAGGCACCTTTAGAAATGTTTAGTAATGACAATCTACAAACAGATACTTCTAGATAACTGCCGGCTATTTATTCTTTGCATAACTTATTTTCTCTTGTTCCCTATTCTTCTCACAGTGGCCATCTTATCTAGGGGTAGATTAATCCATCTCCCTTTACTTCCTGGAACTCGGGCACATGTGACTATGCACATCATCTCATGGGAGGACCAAGCCTTTCCCTGAGATCTCATGAGATTACAGATGAGGGCGCTCGGGCGCAGATTACATCACTTTTGCCAAAGAGAACCAGGAAGTAGAAAACAAGAAATCTGAAGTAAAATGAAAATATGTTTAACTAATTAATGTAAGGTGATTTCATATCAATATGCAAAGCTGCATGCTGGTATGATTTTTAACCAGGGGGTTAGGGTCCGCTTTAAAGCAGAACTGAAGCCAAAACTATTTTTGTAATTTTGAACACAGTAGGTTAGGGTTATAATAACCCCTGTCAACTTTTTTTTACCATCTGTGTCCAGTTGGAGAGATTTCCCTTCGCTTCCTGTCCAATAGACACAACAGGAAAATAGAGGAAATACCTCCAAAGTGAGGGAGATCCCTGGTGATCAGAAAGGTTCAACAAAACTAGTATCCCTATTTCTGTTCTGATGACAACCTGAAATTTGATATTTTCCTTCACTGTCTGTGATAACAGTCCCCAGGACAAATAGAGGGAGCAAATCTCCCTACCAGGGTCACACACAGGGGTGTCCTGAGGCAGGGTGTCACCTGGAGCGGAGACCAGATGACAGCCTGCCGTGACGTTATTGCGCGTGACGTCAGCAAGCGCATGCGTTATGACGTCATCGCGCATGCGCGCTCATCTAGTTGATGCCTGCCGGCGGCCATATTGTTGATGGACGCCGGCAGAGAGAGGAGGGGACGTTCCACCGGCGGGATGAGGTATGCCGCCAGGTCCCCTCCTCTCGGGCACTCGGTCCATGACCGAGTGCCCGACTTTTTGGAGGGGGTGACACCAAAATGACTGTCAGTCATTTTGGTGTCACACAATCAGCCTCCATATTATTCTCACTACTGTTTTTCCTTCACTAACAAGTGCTAAGAATTTTGTTACACTTTCTGATGGCTATTCTGTATGTCCACTGAGCAGTTGGCCATTCTGTTCCATCATCTTAGCTCACCTCTCCATACAAGGGAATGCCTCTCTTGAAGCGGGAGTCCAGCTGTCGGAAGGACACCTTTGTAATTGTGTTCTTAATCTCGGAGGAGGCCTCGCCGGTCATTTGCACACCTAAGGTACACAACATTGTTAGCATGTCAATTTATTGGACTTTTCTCCTATCTATTGTTTCCATGTTGCCTTCTCTCACCTGTTCCATCCTCCGTTATCTTGGCGGTAGCAGTGAGTTTCCTCTCATAGCCGTTACGTCTCAACTGGAAAATTTTTGTCTTCACCACTTCAGAAAAACAGCCTTTGTTATCGGTCTGAAAGGGAAAAGCATCTCTGAGATAGTCTGATATTTCCTTCAGATAATATCATGTCGGCTAGTCTGTGCATAACAATTGAAAGTGGACCTAAGTATGGGCCTAGAAGATGTACTTGTTGGTGAATCTGATTGACTGTACTATGTGACAAACTCTTCAAGACCAAAACAAGATGTTGGCCTTATGTAAATCAATGTAATCAATGTAATTACTGGTTTTGCCACTGAAATAAAAAGGCCAGATAGTGAAGTTGGATTAATGGGTGCACTGAAAGCAGCACCTTAAAGGTACTTTACCCATATATTCAATATAATAACAAAGGCACCTTTAGAAATGTTTAGTAATGACAATCTACAAACAGATACTTCTAGATAACTGCCGGCTATTTATTCTTTGCATAACTTATTTTCTCTTGTTCCCTATTCTTCTCACAGTGGCCATCTTATCTAGGGGTAGATTAATCCATCTCCCTTTACTTCCTGGAACTCGGGCACATGTGACTATGCACATCATCTCATGGGAGGACCAAGCCTTTCCCTGAGATCTCATGAGATTACAGATGAGGGCGCTCGGGCGCAGATTACATCACTTTTGCCAAAGAGAACCAGGAAGTAGAAAACAAGAAATCTGAAGTAAAATGAAAATATGTTTAACTAATTAATGTAAGGTGATTTCATATCAATATGCAAAGCTGCATGCTGGTATGATTTTTAACCAGGGGGTTAGGGTCCGCTTTAAAGCAGAACTGAAGCCAAAACTATTTTTGTAATTTTGAACACAGTAGGTTAGGGTTATAATAACCCCTGTCAACTTTTTTTTACCATCTGTGTCCAGTTGGAGAGATTTCCCTTCGCTTCCTGTCCAATAGACACAACAGGAAAATAGAGGAAATACCTCCAAAGTGAGGGAGATCCCTGGTGATCAGAAAGGTTCAACAAAACTAGTATCCCTATTTCTGTTCTGATGACAACCTGAAATTTGATATTTTCCTTCACTGTCTGTGATAACAGTCCCCAGGACAAATAGAGGGAGCAAATCTCCCTACCAGGGTCACACACAGGGGTGTCCTGAGGCAGGGTGTCACCTGGAGCGGAGACCAGATGACAGCCTGCCGTGACGTTATTGCGCGTGACGTCAGCAAGCGCATGCGTTATGACGTCATCGCGCATGCGCGCTCATCTAGTTGATGCCTGCCGGCGGCCATATTGTTGATGGACGCCGGCAGAGAGAGGAGGGGACGTTCCACCGGCGGGATGAGGTATGCCGCCAGGTCCCCTCCTCTCGGGCACTCGGTCCATGACCGAGTGCCCGACTTTTTGGAGGGGGTGACACCAAAATGACTGTCAGTCATTTTGGTGTCACCCCTCAAATGTCACCCCTGGGTGCGGGCCACACCCCCCGCACCACCCTTGTGACGCCACTGGTCACAGACAGCTATAAAAACCTGACAGGTGTTCTAATCCTTTCCACTCTAACCAAAACTATAAAAAAAAGGTTTTTGGCTTCAGTTGCACTTTAGTTGAAATCTGCTTGTTCTCGGTATATGTTGATGTAAATTCCAGAATGGCAACTTCAGCAGTTCTCTGCATCTGGTAGTCTGGAATGTTACTGGGGGCTAAAGGAAGACATCTGCTCAAAATGAGAAGAAGAGGTAGAGTCTAATAATCTCTGTAGTGTCGCTTTGTCAAGTCTTTTTAGAGGTAAATAAAATATATTCAATTAAAAAGTTTAAAAAAAAATACAGATACAGAAGCGTACAGGTCTATTTTAGAGGAATTGTACAGACAGTAAGCAGAAAATGATCAGCTCATGGAAAAGTCACTGTCCTCCGTGTCAGTCCTTCCAACAGTAAGCACATATAGTTCAGTGATCTCATTTGATAATACTGTTTACTGTCACTTTTGGCCCTTATTTGGTTAAAGACCAGACATGACTGGGCGCACTCCAGAACAGGAGGATACTGTTCTCAGTGTATCTAAAGCCATTCGTTTTCCTTTTTGAAAGAGTATGGCATAGTTAAACCCTCATTCAGGTTATTTTGTGCCATATTTGCCCATTGGGGAGAATTAGCTTCACTTCCTGTCTTATAGACACATCAGGATGTTAGTGAAATGCTCTCTAAAACCTCCTCTTAGACAGTTGTCACTGCCCCATTGGAAGAATGTCCCTCTTTTCCTGTTTCATTGACAACTAGAAATGTTGTTTTGTTTTTTCAATTATTTTTAGTCCTGGTGAAAATGGCCAACAGAACACAAAGGGTCTACTTTTATCAACAACTAGTGGAGCTATTGGCCCTGCCAATCTCTGTGAACATTCGTTCTGCCCGAATAGATGCAAAAATGAACATTCTTCGTATATTATATTTTAAAGTCGAATGTAATGTGATACCGCATTATGTCCACTAGATATTGCAGAGGAGCATAGCAAATAAATACTTATCTCCTGTGCTAATTAGCTCCAGCTAGTGGCCATGAAGTGGTATTATATGACAGTACTTTACATTTGACCTGAAGAGAAAATATACTTTCGTTTTTGCCTCTATTTGCACAGAATAATTGGTTCTGCAAATTGTTTTTAACCCCTTCGTGACGGGAGAGGTACACTGTACGCCCCACTATGAAGTGCCCAAATGACTGGCCACGTACACAGTACATGATCAGTTATTTGTGGCTCTGTAATGCTGATTCTCAGCGGTTACCATTCATTAATGGATGCCTCAGTATTGAGGAATCCATTAATGAAAGAGTTAAGCTTTTTCAGACACCCGATCCCTTTCAGGAATAGGGTGTCTGACAGTGAGAGCAGAGCGGTATTTACTGCTCTCACTGACAGCTGTATAGATCGGGAAATCCCAAGGTATACCGGCTTTGTTTTTTTTCGAAACTTTCCGCAATAGAAACATTTAGCTACATGTTTTTATTGCTGAAATAATGTTGCAGGTTTCTGATCATTGTGGGAATGATCAGAAAACCTTTAGTGACATCTGATCCTGAAATGCTTCAGGATCAGTGTCACTAAGGTTAGCATTGGCTGTTCTTAAGTTTGAAGCAGCGCAATAATAACCAAAAATCAATTAATTAATTTATCAAGCAGCAATAGTGAGAATAATTCACAATGACTGCTTGATATAAATAAATACATAACATAAAAATGTAAAAAAAACTTAAAAAAATAGTGAAAAGTATAAAAAAATTTAACAAATAAAATGTTATATTTAAATATAGTTTATGCTATCATTTATATACAAATTAACCCTTTACAATGAAAATCTGCAGCTGAGCTGCAGATTTGTTTTTCACCCTAGGGGGTTAATTTTTTTTAACCCCCTCATGCCAGTGATGTTCAAAGTATGCTATTGTCACTGAGTGTGACTCTTAGTGACAGTGACATTGTATGCCATGTGACCACTTTTAGCTTTTAGAGAAAAAAGACTAAAATGTTAGGTTTTAGTTTTAGGCTGAGTAGTACCGAAACATTTTAAAAATCCTAGGGATGTGAGGTTTTTCCAAATAAAGGACAAATAATCCCCCTATTGCCCGCTATATGCTGACAGCACAGTGTCACAGGTCGACTTGAATTTTGGGGATGAGTGTTTTTCAATGTTTATTTATGCACAAATATATTAAAGAATAAAAAAAAAAAAAATCAGCTTAAATGTTTCTGATTATTTGTAGACCAATGACTTTGTAGCACTACATTACAGTGCAATACTTACTTCATGTGACAGTTCTTCACACACTCCGTCTTGTGTTGCATCAGCACAGGACGTATAAGAGTAAGCAAACTTTCTGCAGATACGGACATCAATCCTCCCTACCACAGGTTTACCATACGTGTATCTGTAAGAAGATGTGTTTTAGTTTACTTATAACCATATGTACATGTTTTTATTTTATACGCATGTACTTTTAACTTTAAAGTTTATGTAACCCCACCCTCCAAGAAAACAAACAAAAACTGGTAGCTTACCATGACATGACCATGATTTTAGTTATTATTTTCCTCCAAACTGTGACTCAGTGAGTACAATCCAGATGTCATAGTCATTGATCTGGGGGGTATTTGCAAGTGTTGACAAAGTCTTTTATAGGAGACACAACCCCATATCACTACTAATATTATACAACCGCACTATCTTGCATTACTTCTGCAATCATCAGTGCATATTACTCAGGCTACTGGGACTAGAGAGGAATGAGCACAATGTGTAGGATACACTGATAAACTTTGATGGGACAAGACATGAGTAACTGCAAGTCAGTGAATGGAACAATTAACTTTGATAACAGAAGGAAGCTATGACCAGCATTCGTATGAGTACAGTACTTGATTCAGTGACAGTCTCAGCATTGAACACTTACTTTCCACATACAGTAACTGTGATTTCTTCATCAAGGATGGTGGTCACTGGGGCCATTTTCACCTGTACCTCATACTTTGGTAACACTGAAAAGATGACAAACAATGAGTCAGCTCTGTGCACATGAATCACTCAGTGTCTCAAACTCTCAGTAATGTGGCTTCAGTTCAGATATCCAGGTACATTTGTTGACCAGCAGCATGGCATTTATGGAAGCTGAAGTTCCATATCTCAGGATTTATATTATTTGCCCAATATAATTCCTACCTTACATTCACCTCCATGTGTGCACAGTTCAACACTTCCCTCCCTGAAATTTTGGTCATAGTACTTGCCCATCTGACTATTACAGAATAGGAATGCTGTAGTTCTACTTCCTTTGTTACTTGTCTTTCACTAGCTGACTAACTGGAGAAATTTGGGAGCAGCAGCATACTCATAAAGTCATCATATTATTATGCTAGATCATAGTATTAGACAGACGGCATTGTGAAAAGAAAAAAAGTCTTGTACAGTAATATGCATGGTGGGCTGGTGAATGCATGGAGCAGCACTCTGGTCTTCCAACCACTATCTCATATCTGTTGCTAGCTTTTATGTAACGTAACATTTCTCTACACCAGCTGCTTGTTCAGTATCAGCTTCTTTTCTGATTCGAGAAGGGGATGTTTTCAGCTGGCCATAGACGGGTATATGAATCACAAAGAGGGTCACTGTCGGCTATTAGACATTTGGTTGTCCATTCAGGGTCAAACCTCGTTTTTGGTATTAGTGGTGTCACTGTGCCTATTTTAGAGAACGCAGAGGAGGCAGAAATGGAAGAGAAGGCAAATTGAAAACAATTAAAACTTCAGAAGCAATTCTTTTCCTTTTCGTAAATTCTTTCTCTTTTGCTTCAGCTTTTTGCAACCTCTTGCTAATTTTGTAGCATTTTTAGCAACCTTCTGTCACTTGTATAATCATAAAAATATATCTCTAAAATAAGATATGATATAGATGAAAAACTTACCATATTCCTCCACACTAAAGGAATGTTCAATCTGGGGGCCCTTTTCCCTTTGTGCAACCATTTTATATGTCCCCAGCCTGGGCTCAGAGGTGAGGAGGAAGGATTCTTGAGCAATTCCTCTGTTTGTCTCCATATTCACCCACTGAAAGATGCGATTTCGTTGAGGATCCTGAGAGAACACATTAGATCAGATACCTTTTCATACTGATATAAGTCCTTTCACTCTGGATTCTACACATATACTGTGTATGAAAAATTGCTTTATTATTCATATTCTAGACTAAACATACTACCAAAAAAAGATGTTTCCAGTAAATCGAATGAGAGACTCATTGCTGCAGACCTGCATTAGCAAATTCCTGACAAAGTGACCCTGTGTGGTTCCGAAGCCTTAAACTTAATTTTATGCTGCAAGAACATCTATAAAGACAAGACCTTGAAGCTAAAAAGGTTTGCGTACAACAGATTGTCTACTAGTATGTTGTGGCATCATCCACCAGTTGTTCCAGCACCCAAATAAAAGGGGTATATCTGTATGGCGTGCAAAGGAGAGATCACCATGATCCAGGCTATGACTGTCTCCTGAAGCATGTTCCCAGTCACCAACAACTCCCATTGCACCATGTCTTGTAAAATGTCCATAGTTTTTGGCAGTCTCAGACATATTTCTGTAGAATTACATTCACTGAATACTATGTGGGTCCTTTTATGTATAAATATAGAGTGTATGTGTGTGTGTATAGATAGATTGATAGATAGATAGATAGATAGATAGATAGATAGATAGATAGATATGTGTGTGTCTATATAGATATTACATATTATCATATATAGATATGATTTTTAGAGATGTTAGTGACATCTATTAGCAGTCCAAATAAACCACCATGATGTGGAAAAACAGGTCTCCAAGATAGATAGATATGTGTGTGTCTATATAGATATTACATATTATCATATATAGATATGATTTTTAAATATATATCTATATATATATAGATATATATATATATAAACAGGGCTTGAAAAATCCACTCGTCCGCTCGTCTGTGACAAGAGGACGGTGGAGCCCGACGAGCAGCTTCCCGGCCCGCCCCTGTACCAACTTTTATGTTTTACAAAAAATATGGGTAATAATAAATGTTTTATAACATAACGTAGGGAAACTTTGTTTTTTTTTTACATTTATGGTACTTTTTTCATTATATAGTAAAAAAAAAATAACCCCCCCCGTGTTGATTATATACCTCCAAAAGAAAGCTCTATCTGTCCCCAAATATGTCCCCACATAAATTGCAAGGCTATATTCCGGTCATGCTGACTGGTGACATTTTTGACTGACTGGTGAGACACCATCAAATTTTTCAAGCCCTGTATATAGATCTACCGTATTTTTTGCTCCATAAGACGCACTTTTTCCCCACAAAAGGAGGGGAAAATGTGCCTGCGTCTTATGGAGCGAATCCCGACGCCCGAGACATGCAGTTTCGGGCGCCGGGCGAGTAGTAGGAGCCACTGCTCGTTTAATACAAGTGATCTAATGAGATCACTCGTATTAAAGCCAAGCAGCGGCGAACTGAGCAGCGGCGACGATGGAGATCACCATAGAGCAGACGAAGAACGGACTTTCTTCGTCTGCTCTGTGTGATCACTGAGACCGTGGCGCTGTAACCACAGCGCCACCTGTCTCAGCGGTCACTAACTGCAGCTTCTGTCACAGCTTCTGTCATAGAAGCTGTGTCAGAAGCTACAGTCTGTCGAGTGCTCCATAAGGCGCGCCGGACCTCCCTGCATCCTATGGTCCGGTGCGTCTTATGGACCACAAAATACGGTATATAGATATATACAATGTATTTCTTTTTTTGCCACATTTTATATTTCTCTCAAGAGAAGAGCTATAGAAGAAGTAAACAATCTACAAATTAGATATATGTGCATAGATAATAAAGAAAAGTGAAGACGAATGGCCATAATAACTGCAGTCTCCCAGGGATAATAAGGAGATGTTTTATTCATCAGAATATAGAGGACACTAACATTTGATTTCTATAGGTAACAATACTTTGCATATAGTTTATTGTAACTTGCAGCGTGGATATGTAAAAAAAATAAATTTTTAGACCTAATCTGATATTTACCTTTCAAAAGTTAAAAAAAACAAATGTGGGTATATTTGTATACCCTGTGCGATTTATAAATTCATTGCAACTATATAGTTATGATTTCAAAAGTCAAAAAAATCTAAAAATATTACTGTTATTAACAAAACAGGAAATAGTAATGAGCTCTTTTGAAAAATATTACCTCAGGTTCTTTAACCAAGAAGGAACATTTCTTGTCTTACCTCAACAAAAATTACAGGAAACTAAAAAAGGAATGAAAAAAGACATTGCGTTAAAAAACATTAAAATAATGCCACTTACACTTTATCTTAAAGTATTCTGAAGTTATATTTGAAGTTAAAGAAGATATAACCCATAACTGAATTACATCCTGTGTATCATACATTGCCTTAGTGGTTTTCTTTTAATAAAATACTGTTTTTTCATCCTTTTTTTGCTTCTCATTGCTGCTTATCTCCTCCAGCCAGTTCATGTCAATATACACTTACTCCAGCATCAACTGCACATCATTGCTTAGGAACGGCTTTCTAATAAAGACAAAGACAGACCATGCCTGGGCAATGTGTGTCAGCTGTTAGGATCAGTTAAGGGTGAATGATACAGAGGGCCAGCCACAGAGCATTAAACCTTTTGCAGAGGAAGTTGTTCTTTGCCACATCTTCTGCACCAGGGGTAGGTAAACTCCTGCCCTCCAACTGTGGTGAAACTACAAATACCATGATGCATCTGTCTCTTGAAGTCATGTCTGTGGCTGTCAAGAGCCTTGCAATGCTGGATGGGATTTGTAGGTGTACCACAGCTGGAGGGCTGACGTTTGCTTACCTCTGCTCTACAGAACTCTCTTTGTATCAATCACTTGTCCGCAGTACAGCTTATGATTTGTAAGAATTCCCATGACTTTAGTGGCATGATTGCTGGATACAGAACTATACCAAGCACTGTGACTGATCGCATGAGGGCTATATCTACAATATTAACAACAATCAATCATATTTTGCCTTTATATACCTTTAATAATGTTTATAGCTTTGTAAGAAACAAAACTGTTTCACAGCTTATAACTGAGCAGGGGAGTAACTATATGTATATAATTGCTATGAATGTGGTTAGTTTTCTGCATCCCTAGGGCAATTAATAGAGGAGGAGATAGGGCAAGGGGTGTAATGGTTTTGTTACTTAAGGTCCCTCTTTCTAATCTCCTTATATGCACATTCTATCCACATTTCTTTCTGAAATGCTATTGCTATCTGCATAATTGGCTAAACAGTGCTGGGCCCCCTGTAATTCCAGATTTAGGTGGGCTCCATAGCAGTTGCATGGTTTGCTACAGCTTTATTACGACTTGCTGAGAAGGTTTTAGTTTTCTGCAGGCAGGAAGCTTTTACTTTACAAAAACCATGGAAACGTATTTTACCCAAAAACAACAATTAAATATACTGTACTGCGATTCACTAGCCCTTAGATGAGGTACCCGACTTTGTTTTCTTTTTTCCTTTATTTGAGCCTTGGCTATCACCCCATGCAGCCACTACATCTAAAGACTGCTGAGATGCAATATATTACATTTTTGTTCTTGGGTGTAGATATTCTTTAAAGGGCAATGCAACCAGACTTCCCTCAATGTAAGTAAAAAAATAAAATAGACTGGATTCAACTACACAAAGTAAGCACGGTTTTAATGTAAGCATGGTTCTTTCAGGGTATCCTAGAATACTTTTGTTTGATAGATTCATGGCTTCATGCAAGGTGACTAGTGTCTTGGGTTCAATGGCATTTAAACATACCTTCTCATGGGTGGTATGAAATGTCTCGTCCATGGTAGCAACACGGAACTGAACTACAAAGAAAAGAAACAGGGATTCTGTTTTATACATGTGCTAAAAGTTACATACTTAGTTACATAGTTAGCCAGGTTGAAAAAAGACACAAGTCCATTGAGTTCAACCTATAGAGATAAAAGTGTGACCTTTCCATCTACAAAATGACTGCTAATTGTGACATAATACAATGGCATGGTAAGGAGAGGCCTTAGTATAGACTTGTAGTGCTATATCCCTATTCTTGTCTGAGTTGGGAATGGGACAAATACCTTATCATGGTCAGTAATGTTTAATATACAATGGCATGGTAAGGGGAGGCCTTAGCATTGACTTGTAGTGCTGTTTTCCAATTCTCGTCGGGAATAAATCAAGAAGCATTTTATGTGTAGTATATATCATGGCATAGCAAGGAAATGCCTTAGTAAAGAATTGTAGTGCTGTATTCCTATACGTGTCTCAGTTGGGAATAAGTTGGGAAGCATTTTATATGTAGCATATACAAGAGCATGGTAAGGAGAAGCCTTTCCATAGAGCTTTTGTGCTGTATCCCTCTTCTTGTCCTAGTTAGGAAAAACCCAAAAAGCTTCTTTTTTTTTATGTGCAGTAATGTGTAGTATATACAATGGCATGACAAGAGGGTTTATGATGGAATTGCAGTGCTGCTCTATCCTTATTTTTTCTTAGTTGGGAGAAGTGTAGCAGCTTATCATTGGAAGACATGTTTAATATATTGGATAAATGGTGATGCAAAGCGTTGACCTTCCACCCAAAGCCTCAGTTAATAATTCCTATAATCAATAGTGAGCTGCCGTGCTAATAATATATATAATAATAATATATTCTTACACATGTTTAATAAACTCAATGGCATAATGAGAGGTCTTAGGATAAAATTGTGGTGCTGTATCCCTATTCGTTTCTCGGCTGGGAATAACTCAATAAGCTCAGTAACTTAATAAGCTTTTTATGTGCAGTGATGTGTAGTATATACAATAGTATAGTAGACATACTTTATGATGGAATTGCAGTGCTCTTGTCCTATTTTTTTCAGTTGGTAATAGGTCTAGCAGCTTACCTTTCTGCCCAGGTTTATAGATGGGTTTGTCAGTCTGGATGAACGCCAGGTTATATGAGCTCCTGATGACAACGCTTCTCTTTGACTTAAAGTGCAGAGAGTCACCCACAGCATCAAGTGTGATGAATGCCACATGTGGCGCCTCAACCTTTGGTGTCTAAAGAAACACACAAGGAGAATTTTAACACCAATAGTATCAGTTGGCTAACAAATTGATGACTAAAGCTATTTCCACCTCAAACTGACCAAAACAATATTCCTTATTCATCTCCAAGTGATGTGCTGGACCAGTTTGCTACTGCTGGTCTTTCTGTTCAAAGTGTTTCAAATAAGAACCATGTATAGTGCTTCATGAGAAGCCCAGTGTATCTTCCCCAGTGCACTACTGGATTTTTTAACTGTGCAGTTTATTCTGCTTGTATAGATCACCTAAATGACGAAGAGCCTAAATTGCTCTGTTTGGGCCTGTCAGAACAAATGCAGGTTTATACAATAAGTCATTACAAAGATGATGTGAAACTGCAATATATTCTACTGGAAGCAGAGATGACAAAAACTGTATTGCAATCAGTTATGAGGCTCTCATTGCTTGTTGCAGTTTACTTATCTTTGCACATCAGCTATGCTCTTTGTATTGTCTGATGGCCGAGTGTACTAGAATTTTCAGCAAAAACATATAATCTGTTACAGGAGCTATAAAAAGGACAATTATGCTGACAAGAATATATAGGCTTCCATTGCTGAGCTCTGCTCTAAAATTCTAGTTTCCAAACATGCATACTGTTGCAGTGGCCTCAACACTTTGAGTCCCTTTCCTGGTACAACTATGAAGATTGGACATTCTGACTTCACATGCTGCATACATATTCTGGTCCAGCCAGTGATTCAAACATACTTTGAATGAGTATGGTAGCCTGGCAACTAGCATTTTCCAAATGAAGGTAGAACATCAGCTTGCCTTATTTTGATCAGCACATATTACCAAGCCTCTGTGGAATGAAAATGTTACATTCTGTATTTCACATCACGCATAAAATCTTGAGGGAATGTGGAGGTGTTGCTCAAAAGCAGTGAAACAGATGTCAGTTGTTCCCTGGAGCAGAAATGTCAAGGCTGCAATCTGATTGGTTTTATCTGTTGGCACAAAGCTACCAATCGGATAAGCCCATTCTGACAGCATCTAAAAGTTTGGAAATGGTTGGTAGGAACTTGAAGGTCCCATCTTAATGGTTGACAATGTCCTTGAAGTAGTATGGGGTTCCTTTGTTCTATGGATCTTATGATGTAAAGAGTTGGATTCTTTCCATTCCACTTTCACATTGGAAGGCTGCTCAGCTACTTAAAGCGATACGTTCATTGACATCTACGAGAGAGATGAGACTACTTGTTTCATGAATGAAAAGTGAAAATTAATTTGTAGCTCTGTGTACCAACTCCAATTTTTATCCTGGATGTGCTTACTCCAGTCTTATAATATAATCTCATTTGTGATTAAAGTTTAACAAATTCCTGGAAAGGCTCTCAAGCTGAAAACATCTTAGTAAAATATAGTGACATATTATATATATATATACATTGATCAGCCATAACATTATGACCACCCGCCTAATATTCAGTAGGTCCATCTTTGGCCGCCAAAACAGCCCTGACCCATCGAGGCATGGACTCCACTAGACCTCTGAAGGTATGCGGCGGTATCTGGCACCAAGTTGTCAGTAGAAGATCCTTTAAGTCCTGTAAGTGGTTAGGTGGGGCCTCCAGGGATCAAGCTTGTTTTTCCAAAACCTTCCACAGATGCTCCCTGTTGCCGGTTCACCGGTTTTCCTTCCTTGGACCACTTTTGGCAGGTCCTGACCGCTACAGACCAGTAACATCCCACAAGAGCTGCAGTTTAGGAGTTCATTGGACCCAGTTGTCTAGCTATTACAATTTGGCCCTTGTCAAAGTCACTATTTATCATGCATGCCCATTTTCTTTGCTTCCCACGCATCAACTTCAGGGACAAAATGTTCACCCACTTCCAGGTGCCATTGTAATGAGATAATCAATGTAAAGCTGGCCTATACACCTATAGATTTCTAAGGTCAGATGGAAAAAGTGCAACAGATTCCTCCATCCACGCTAAACTGTGTGGATTGAAAACAAATCTCCCGCTGAGCCAAGCTTCAGTATCTTGCTAGGCGGCCCTGCTGGCTGTCAAAATACTTGAACAATGCCTGCAGCCAATCAGATTGTTCAGGTATTTTAAAAGCCAGCGGGGACAACTAACAAGATACTGAAGCTTGGCACAGTGGGAGATTCCTCCATTCACACAGTTTAGCGTAGATGGAGGAATCTGTTGCACTTTTTCCATCTGACCACAGAAAATCTCCAGATAATCTATAGGTGTATGGCCAGCTTTACTCACTTCACCTCTCACTCTCAGTGGTCATAATGTTAAGGCCGATTGGTGTATATTAAATAGGACAGGAAGATTTGTAAAAATTCCCTTGAAAATGACAAGCCGACATTTGTCCAAACAATGTAAAAAATTTTCAATAGAGTTATAAGCTGACAGAGATTCTAAAGCTGCCCAATTTTATTACACAAAAAGTTTTGTTGTAGAGTGTGTCCCAACTAAATAGACTTTTCATCACTTCCTGTTCTGACAGGAAGTGTGGGATAGTATCCCCACTGGGACAGTCTGCAAATAAAAACCCGACAGAGGTTCAGTCTTTTGCATAAAATAAATATGACTGAAAATGGGATTTAAAGAAAGTTTATATTTAAATATAATTTGACGTGCCCAGATGACTATGAACCAACAGGAATCAATCAGTAAACCTCGGACCGGTTGATGAGAAACAATGGTATTTAATGACATTTTGCCAATAGTCCACAATACCTGGAATGTGAAACAGCTGTCCTCTCCCGGCTCTGTGACATGTTTCTCCAGCAGTGTTGTGTTGTCCTGTGCCTCCAGGGACACGATCACATTAACAGACTCATTAAGGTGTGACAGCTGCAAGCAGAAGGTCTGTTCCTTTCCTGAATTTAATACAGTCGGCACCAACAGCATATACTGCCTGGAAAACAAATGGAAAAGTATTCTAAACCAAAAAATAAAAGCCACAAACAACACTATTCAGGTACAGGAATTACATCTTTCAACCCTTTTGACAAGGAGAAAATCTCTATATATGATCAGTATGTAAAAAAAAAAAAAAGCAGCTTATAAACAACTTTATAAAAATAGTCGGCATGGAGTTAGAATGCAACATCAGCTGCACGGTAGATGAATTGCATCCTCTGCAATGGTGGGGGCATTCACCCACACAGTGGTACCCACAGAAGTTTAGAATAAAGTGCATTATTTTGTAGTAGATGAGTTCACCAGAGGAGCAGGTGGTAGAAGTGCCAACACTGACATTGGACACAATTTAAAGAGACCCTGTCACCAGGTGAAAGCACAGACAAACTCAGTGTTTTAAAAGCTTACTTACAGTATTTTTGTTTTCTATAAATTATTTTAATGGGACTTTGAACTTGCTAGAGAAATTACACATTACAGAAAGTGTCAATCCCTAGCACAGCCCCTTCCCTCTTTGCACATCATAGCTCTCTCCTCTTCTGGAAGTGTCTAATTAATGTCTGTGCTGGACTAGCTCCTCTGCCCCTCCCCTCACTGCATAACCTTTTATATAGCTACTAGGGGAGGAGCAAGGGTAAATATTATAGTGTCCAGTCTACAACTGCTGACATCACATCCAGATGGTGGCACAAGGGAGACTTTTACAGGTAAATAACATGCTTAATATATGTTAAATATATGTTAAATGTATTCCAATGGGAAGATTGTTAAGTCTTTTTAAAGGGTCAAACACTTGCTATTGAGCATCAATGCCTATCTCCTTCATAGATATCAATGGTCTTCCTGTTGGACACATTGAGCTGACACATGAAGATGCACTAAAAGCAGGAATGCAATACAGCTATGAGAGCTGTGCGTGATGCCTATCAGTACAAATTATGATGATAATAATAATAATAATAACTCAGTATTAACAGGAACACAATAATAAATAAATGAAGCATAAACGATGATTTGATGATCAATATCCAGATCAGACCTATTGTAGCCATTTGCACTCCAGGCAGGGCCACAAGGCCTCAGGGCGGCAGGGAGTAGAGGGGCAGCAGGGGGGTGAAATTCCTATCACCCAACACCTGGGACAAGTAGTTTTTTTCTACATTTAGCCCTGCTTTGGGCAAGCAGCAGGGCTAAATGTACAGCGGGGGAAGCTGCAGCTCATTTTGTACAAGTGATCTCTATTGCCGAGATCACTTGTAATTAGCCTGCTCATCCGTCCTCCCCCACCGCCCCCCCCCCTCATGGCCCACCTCCGACTGCCTCTCCCGCTGTGGTTTTCGTGGTCCCCTGCTCTTCTGGGGGACTCGGGACCAGTCAAGGTAGTTCGGATTGGAGAGTGTGGAGCAGAGAACGTCTGTTCTCAGCTCTGCTCCGTGTAAACACTGAGACGGGAGAGCTGCATTTGCAGCCTTACCATCTCAGCTGTCACAGGCGAACCAGCACAGTGCTGTGCTCAAACTCCTGTATTGAAGGGGACAGGTTCAATAAAGAGAACCTGTCACCTCCAAATGCTATCACACAGGGGCTTGCTAGCACTTGTGTGGTAGCAAAAAAGTTAAGTGAAAATAAAGAAATAAAATAACAATTAAAACATTTGATAAAAAGTAAAAAAATAATAAAATAAAAAAGTAAAAGATAACATTCAAATTTAAAAAATGTAAAAAAATTAAAAAAGTGATAAGTAAAAAATAAAAAATTATAAAAAAATGTTTTAAAGAAAGATAATAACATAAAT